TAGTCATTGTCCATGGATATACAATTGCATTGGAGTAAAAAGTCACCGCGTTTTTATGTTGTTTCTACCATTGATGATTACGTGTATTTCAACTTTTGAATATATCAGCTATCAATGTATAATTATTTATAATTCTATATCTTTTATTTTGCAAAAATATATCTTAATCTCTTTCTATTTAATCTTTAATAGATTTTGTATTATCCGCACCTCCATACGTGCCTATTGAATCTGAACCCTGTTTGTTGAGTGACGCCTACTGTGGATACTTCCAATATGATGGTTGGACTGCTGCTTTATGTGTCTGGAGTGCTTTACAACTTCCTTGGTTGATAACTTTATTATGTTTTCAAACTTACCAAATTTCTTCGGCAAAAACTACAAATGAAATAATGAATCTTCATCGTTATTCATATTTTACTTCCAAATCTCCTAATGCAACAAGTAATGATAGTGGTAATGTGAATGAAATTATTAAAAGGGTAGATACCTCTCATCAACAAGAATGTGGTGGAAAATGTAAAAGTGGTCACAAACATAATCATTTTTCAAAAATTTGTAAGGTATTTGAAGGTCATGATGATATTTTAAACCCATTTGATTTTGGTTGTTGGAATAATTGTATAAATTTTTGGTCGGAAGGGAAAAGTGGAATGTTACAAAATGTGGATTGGTATGAAATTTTTGATACATCTTTTATTGAATCGCGTGATGATATGAAATCAAATGGTTATACTGTTTTAAAAAGAGATGAGGAAATCGTATAAAATTTTATTAAGTTTTATATATTGATATTTTGGTTGGGGTAATAAATTATAAATATTGGAAATATTAGGGTTAGGTTTTTGTTTTCTTATTATTAAAAAAAAAAACAAACATTTGATTGTATTCATATTTTTGGAATGTTTAATTTAATACGTAGTTATTCGAAATAATAAAATTGTCTCATTTATTATTACTTTTAATTTTTTCTTTATTAAACGTTTTTCAATTGTGATTTTAAAATGTATGTATCTTATAGTGAATTTACTCGATAATGTGACATTTTTATTAATGGAGCGGATCATTTCACTATAACGAGAGTGACTCGTATTTCTACTACGTAGAGAACTGTACGTACTGCGTATGATACATGTGATAACCCCAATTTAGATAAATGAAACTCTACGTATATTCTTATTGTATTACCGCTTCATTGCTTTCATCTTTACATCTACGTACCTTTAAACTAAATGGC